AAGAAGAAATAAGTTTTGGATTCCTTGAATTTTTAATTCCAATTCTGAAGGGTTAGGAACAAAGTGCCTAGCACTATTTTTAAGAAGAGCTTCCTACAATATTTACTTTCTGTTAAGTGCAATCAAAAGTGAGAAAAGGCAAAACCATATTCTTCCACAAAAGACTTAATGATGCAAGGAGAAATATGCTTTCTCTGCTTTCTGCCCCAGATGTGTATGCAATACCCAATCAATTTAAACTGTTTGTTTTCCCTATGAATAGTTTAAAATGTGAGTTGCAAGGAAAAGTTCCACAAGAGCAACAACAACAAAAAAAACCTCTGTCCACTTAACATGTGGGACTTGTTATTTTCTCTGTCAGCAAAATGGTTTACATCTGATGGAAGAAGAAACATTCTGCTAGAAGCTCTGACAAGTATCGGTTTCAATTTTTTATTAACCTATAGCCACTGCCTCTGAAGACTTCCAGACAGCCATAAGTAAGATTACTGTTATAATATCTTTTAAGTCCTCAGGGCTAAAAAGTTTGGAGAACTTTAAAGGTTATTCTGAAAAAAAAGCAGTTGAAGAAGCCTTGGTTTACTTTAATCTGAAGAAAAGAAAAAGAGAGAGAGAGAAAGAAAGGAAGGAGGGGAGGAAGGAAGGAAGGAAGGAAGGAAGGAAGGAAGGAAGGAAGGAAGGAAGGAAGGAAGGAAGGAAGGAAGGAAGGAAGGAAGGAAGGAAGGAAGGAGAATCTCAGTTCTCAGTTTGGTTCATACTGAAACATCAGTGCCTATTTTTCTTTGCTTCCTATCACTGAGTTTCCGGGAACCTCTTATTTCCTGTATGTATCAGGCAGACTTTCCAAATCTGATTCCTATGTTTTGTGCAGATGCAGCTTACCTTCAACATGCACACCAGTGTGCCCCAACAGTTTCATTAGAAGATCCAGAATAATTCTTACACACATCTCAAAATGGGGTACACATGTATTAGAAAGAAGGCATATTATGAAAGCAACTTCTAGAGGTCCTAAAATTTCAGATAGTCATCACAATATATATTCTCTGAAACATACCACAGTTCTACCTTGGGTAGGTTTACTTATTATTCCTATTTGAAATTCCAATGATCAGCCCCTCCCACACAGCCATGAAACTGCACTTTGGGTGCTTGGCAACCATTTGTAGCATCCCCTGGTTACATGATCATGTTTTACAAGTGTTATCAAAAACCAGCATTACTTCCAGTATTTGGCAAAAATGGCCCATAGTGAATCATGGGTTTGCTTAATGACCAGGAAGTTTGCTTAATGACCACTGAAAAAAGTTGAAAAATTGACAGTCATTAGTTTGACTGTGATGGGCAGGCTCCATTATGGACCATCTGTATCAGAACCCTGGAGAGTGATGCTAATGCATTCATCCACTGCAGAGGTCTTCAAGCCTGGCTCTTTTATGACTTGTGGACTTCAACTCCCAGAATTCCTCAGCCAGTGTGCCTGGCTGAGGAATTCTGGGAGTTGAAGTCCACAAGTCATAAAAGGGCCAAGTTTGAAGACCCCTGATCCACTGTATACAATCTGCACATGGTCTTATTAAGAAACTCCCATATGCATATTAAGCCAATTACCCAATTGGTCAAATTAATGTAGATTGGTAGGATTGCAAAACCTTCCAGCATTTGGGAAGTTTCTTTTTTATTTTATCTGTGACAAGTCCCCCAAAATAGAATAATGAGGTATAGTGTAAGTTGAGCGGCATTGCTGCCAAGATACGTCTTCCACAAATGCCAGGGAGAGAAGCTAATTGAACTCTGAGCATATGGAGCTCTGCTGACAGAGCTAAGAAACCAGTTCTGCATGAACAGCAAGGAACATCTTGAAGCATGCAAGACATATGTGTTTGAGATAAAAGATTGAAGTGTTTCATAATAAAAAAGGACAAAGTGAACTACAAGTGCTGTATAAAATTTTAATTAAAAAGTGGCTTCACTCTTCAACATGACTAGGCAATATGCTTCACAGATGGATTTCACATTTTAACGATCACCCATACTCATAAAGTAGATGAGACAAATAAAATATTTTTTAAAAAACCAGAAGCTAGGATGTATGTAAATATTAGAAGATTGTGTGGAAAATGAGGCAAGGAAGAAAAGCAATTTCTGGCAAATGTTTACTTTTGCAGAGTCAAGAAAATACATTTACACAATTCCAGCCTTTGAAGCTTTCATCCTGCATGAAATCTTCCCTAACTATCCTCTGCTGAAGACCAACATGAATAATTATTTTTAAAAGGAGGATGGATGAAGGCCAAAGTGCTAATAAGTTTAATTTTTATGCTTACAATTGAACAACCATCTTCTTTTTTCTTTCTATGCTGAGCTAGTTCCCAGCTTCCATAAGCCAAACCTATATTGAAGGATGCCAAGACCCATAGTTCATCAGCATCTGGAAAGCCATAAATTTACCATTCTTGGTTACAGGAATGCTTAATGCTTCAAAGAAAGCAATCAATGAGTGATGGCTTAAGAAGTGACCTTGGAAGGAAACATAGTTTGTGAATATCAGAAGAACAGATCAAATAAAACAATTGCTTTTATTTCTATGATTATATATGGATATATTTGTGTGGCCTTGCATGCATGTATTGTATCTGAACAAATATATAATTAACTCTCTTTGGGATATGTGCACAGTCCACATTCATTATTGCAGCTTATAATCGCTAAAATAGTTATTACTAGTGGGTTGCCATGCTTTGGATTAAAAGACAACTTTGCAAAACTTTGACTTTGCATATTATTGCTTATAGCCTAAAACTCCTCTTTTTTGTCAGTTGGTAAGATCTCAGTGCATATTTCTGCTTTAGTAGACAACCTTATATTCTATCTCCATTAAGAATTTTAATTGAAGGCCATTGTTCAAGTACATTTATTTTTGTCCAATCCATTTTAATAGTTCTCTGTAAAATTTCCTATTGGACATTATTAAATCATTTTTGCTACTTGTAACATAAATCAACTTTAGCAAATCTTTAAAATCTAATGAATTTATAATTGCTAGAGAAGCACCATTGTGCTTTAAGGTAGGTCAAATAGACATTCAGAAATACAGGAGTTTTGCAAACGTAAGATTTATTTCATCTATCACATCATCAGCAGTCAATACAGTGTTTCATGTTATATATTAGTTCAGAGACAGGCAAGCAAGCTATTGAACCTGGTGATCCTGATTTTAAAAAGCCCAAGAAAAATAAAATAAACATTTTAGTATAAAGAATAGTATATATTGTTAGTACAGCATAGAAGAGTCTATATACAGATACATAGATTCGCCCAGACTGTTAATATCTTAACACTTAAATTCATTTTTTGCAAGATCAGATTTTGAGATTATTGGATTCTAAGCTTGCTACAAAAGAAAAGTCTGCCCTCCAAGAAATTTTTGGAGGTCAAAATGCTTATTCAGAGCTGCCTACGATAAGCAGAACTGAGCTTCCATTCAGTGACTTTTTATTTATTTATTTATTACACAAAAAGAAAAGCTTTGGAATAATCCCTGAGAAGGACTCCTGAGATAGGTGTGATTCTTGATCTGCATTCTCTCAGGAGTTGCAGACCTAGTTTTCATTCTTCATCCAAATCCCTTCCTCATGTAGTTGGAAAAGAGTTGGTATTTCAACACAGATGCCATTAGTTTGACATATGTGGCTTTGTGCTCAATTGCAGCCCAGCTTACTGTGTTTAACCATATTTCATTCTTTACTGCTCCCCAATTATCCCAACATAGAGCTCTTAAATGCAACGATACAAATAAAATTTTGATAGGCTCTGGAAACACACCGAGAGGCTGAACAAAACTCAGGAGTGTGATATCCTGAACATCATCAAGTCATTTTAAAAGACCTCACTTTTCAGGTGAACAGGAACAAGACTGTTATTTGAGCTCTAAATCAGGAAAAATTGAAAAGAGTACAAACAGAAAGCTCCCAACCCATAAATATGAGCCTTGCTGGGTCTCTGCAGACTCTGACCGATTTAACATTCGGTTCCATCAGATGAGGAACAGCAGCTGTTTAATTCTGACAACTACATGATAAAAAAATCAATAAACCAGGAAGGCCACAATGTTATTTTTTTTTAGATGCCAGGCCTCTTAAAAACAGTAGCTTTTTTAAATAGATCACTTCTATGACAAAAACTGTCAAAACATCACAAACAATATGTTTTGTTATTGCTGTAACCCTGAAAAGAACAGAGACATTGCTCCCTGTTTTTATTTGCAAAGTCAAAGCACAAAGACAAACATTGAACAGGTTAAAAGCCTTCCTGCTGTCAAAATTAACCTCCTGATTTGGCCGTGTTAAGGAGGGGAGGGGCAGGGAGTGGGGCAAAGAGGACTTCAAAACGATAAAAAGAAAAAAAAACATTAAAGAAAACTATAAAGCACCCTTCTTTTCCACGAGGAAAATCTTCCCCGAGATTTTTGAACTGCAATTTCTATTGATAGCAACTGTAGTTTACTACATTTAGGAAAATATGGAGGAAAGGTAAGATGGGGGATTCTGGGAAAGCACTATGCCTGCTTTTGATATAAATTGAAAGTGTTTTGGAGGGCATGTGAATTCCAGGACAACATCATTGATGTTCATTAAAACAATTGGTTCTCAGGCTTTTGTGAGTTTGGGGCTAGGGGACATGTAGCTCCTTTAAAGCTCTTCATGGCATGGGTCCAGGTTACCTGAGGAACCATCTCACCCCATTGGGATTGACCCATACCAATCATGCCGACAGAGAAGACATGCTGTAGGCCTTGTCAACCCAATTATTCCAGCTGGCGAGATCCAGGAGGAGGGTCTTCTCTGCTGTTGCTTCTACCCTCTGGAACATCTCCCCCCCCCCGCCCAATGTAAGGTTGCCCCCAATCCTTCTATCTTTGCCAGCCAGCTTGGGGCCCCAGTGGGGGAACAGCACAATGGAGGTGATAGAGTAATAACAGATCCCACCTCTCCTCCCCATTCCCACCCTCTCCATGCTTCTTTGGTTTTAATGTTCAATTTTAACTTTAGGTGTTTTAGCTTAGATATAACTGTGAAATGCCCAGAGTTACCCTATGGTAAGATGGGTAGCTAATAAATTTTATAAAATAAATTCAAATAAAATAATAAAATAAGTCCTCATTCAGCAACTGCCTTGTACAGCAACTATTACACAGTAACTTTGGACAGTTTACAATTGTTAAAAACAGGTAAGAACAAAAATAATATAAAAAAATACAAATCCAGGACAAAAGAACAACAATGGCAAGGAACACAAACCTGAGGGGGTGGAGGAAAAGAGGAAGAAAAAAGATATCAGTCACCATCACCAAAGGTCTAGGCAAAAAGTCAAGTCATTAGGGCTCTTCAAAATCCAATAGGCTTGGAGCTGTTTAAATTTGGGGGAACTGAAGTTAGATAATAGATAGATGATAGATGACAGATGATAGCTAGAGAGACAGAGAGACACACAGACAGACATTGTTATATATCAGTTCAACTGAAACTGTATTGGTTCAGTAAAAGAAAAGATCCAACAAAACAAAACCCAAATTCATAGGTGGTATTACAGGTGTTAAAACCACCTGGCAGAATTCATTCCTGATATACTGTAGTTCCTGTTAGATGAAGGTTGGTCGACTTCCTCTATCTCAGGGGTCTTCAAGCTGGGCCCTTTTATGACTTGTGGACTTCAACTCCCAGAATTCCTCAGCCAGGAAGTCCACAAGTCATAAAAGGGCCAAGTTTGAAGACCTCTGCTCCATCTCTTCTCCTAGAAACACAAGATGATTTACTAGTATAATACCAAACAGCTGATTTAAATAATCTGCAATGCAAATGTTAGTAACAGTGCACCACAGTGGATTCATGTACGTGAAATAAACTTCATGCATAACATACAAAAGCTACAGAACGTTAACTACAGAACACAGTGAAATTAAAATAGAAGACTAGTATAATAATAAATTGCTGGAATATAAAAATAACAAAGAATTTGATTCAAAATGAAACAAAAATAATAGGATAGGTAATAGTAATGTCATTGCTTCATATATTGTAAGAAAATGCATTAATTTATTTGTAAGATGTATGTTACATTTATTCATTAAACAACAAAAATGCAATTTAAATTCTAGAGAAAAGATCAGAATGTTTGGAATGAATAAGGAGGCAAAGCACATAACTTGAAAGTAGAAGACATGATTGAAAGAATGAGGTCTAGTTAGAAGGAGAAATTAGGAAGGCACACTGGCCACAAACCTCAGGTCTCCATGACTCTGCCAAGCTCTTCAGAGTACTGATTCATTAACACAAGGTAGAAAATAAAGTGCAACAAGAAGTTACAACATTGGGGGTTAGAGATCCCTAGTGTGAAGTTTCCTGTGATTTATAAGGTAGGTATGTCAACACTCAGTTCCTCTAGCACTATTCTCCATACTGGAATAAATATGAAGAAAAATCAAATTATGGTAATACTTGGCAGACAATCTGACTTTCTGTAACATTCCAACATTATAATCAGAGCTTTGTGACAGTCTATATTTGCTTCTTTAAGCATCCCAAAGATGCTTTTTCATGAGGCAACTGGTCTGCTTAACTCATTCTTCACATCAGTCTTCACACAAAAAGAAATTACAGCCCAACATGCCAAAAAAAATACTGCAAAAGACGAATTAGAAACAAACATTAAAATAAGCAAGAAAATGATAAGAGAACACCTATCTGACCTTGACGAATATAAATCATTGGGATCTGACTCAAAGTTCCGAAGGAGCTGGAAGATGTTATCTCAGAACCATTGCATCATATCTTTCAAAAATCCTGGAGCACTGGGGAAGTACCTGAGGATTGGAAAAGCACTGATGTGGTTCCCATCTTCAAGAAAGGGGGGGGGGAACAGACCCAGGAAACTACAAACCAATCAGTATAATATCAATACCTGGGAAGATCCTGGGAAAGATAATCAAAAAAACAGATCTGCAAACAACTAAAAGCAAACAAAGTTATAACTGGTAGCCATCATTGGTTTGTTAAAAACAAATCATGCCAAACCAATCTTATTTCATTCTTTGATAAAGTGACTAAATTAGTAGACTAGGGAAATGCTGTGGACATAGTATTTCAGTAAGGTGTTTGATAAGGTAGACAACAACCTGCTGCTTAGAAAGCTAGAAAAAAGTGGGATAGACAATATCACCACCAGATGGATCTGTAGCTTGCTGACACATTGTACTCAGCGAGTAGTCCTCAATGTACTACATCCACATGGAGAGAAGTAAGCAGTGGGGTACCACAAGGCTCTGTCTTAGGCCCAGTACTCTTTAATATCTTCATAAATGACCTAGATGAGGGAATAGAAGGGGAACTCATCAAATTTGCAGATGACGCTAATAGCCAACACCCCAGAAGACAAGCTCAGGATCTAAAAAGATCTTGACAAATTTGAACAATTGGCCCTAACCAACAAAATGAATTTTAATGTGGAGAAAAGCAAAGTTTTACATTTAGGCAGGAAAAATCAAAGGTATAAGTACAGATTAGGAAGACCTGACTCAAAAACAGTAACCAAGAGAGGGACCTGGGAGTCCTATTGGACGATCACTTGACTATGAGCCAGCAGTGTGCAGCAGCAGCCAAAAAAGCTAATATAATCTTGGGCTGTATAAACAGAGACATAGAATCAAGATCACAAGAAGTATTTGTACCGCTTTATAAAACCTTAGTAAGACCACACCTGGAATATTGCAACTAATTTTTGTCACCATACTACAAAAAAGATGCTGAGACTTTGGAAAAAGTTCAGAGAAGACCAACTAAAATGATCAAAGGCCTGGAGACTAAAACATATGAAGAACAGTTGCAGAATTTGGAATTGGCTAGTCTAAAGAAAAGAAGAAACAGGGATGATATGATAGCAGTATTCCAGTATTTGAAGGGCTGCTACAAAGAAAAGAACATCAAACTATTCTCCAAAGTACCAGAAACAATGGTTGGAAACTAAACAAAGAGAGAAACAACCTGGAATTAAGAAGAAACTTCCTAACAGTGAGGACAATTAACCAGTGGAAAAGCTTGTCTTCAGAAATTGTGGGCACTCCATCACTGGAGGTTTTTAAGAAGAGACTAGACATTCACCTGTCTGAGATGGTATAGGTTCTCCTGCTTGAGCAGGGGGCTGGACTAGAAGACCTCCAAGTCCCTTCCAACTCTATTCTATTCTATTCTATTCTATTCTATTCTCTCATAAAAATAGTTTGACCAACACACAATCTTCTCAATACACTTTATAGTGTTTTATTTCTTTATATTGCATTTTATAGCAAGAACAACAGCAGGAACATTCACAATGTGCAAGTTTTGTTGTTTAAAGAAAAGAAATGCTCTGTAAAGCCTGGCTCTTTTCATTTATACTTATTTCCCCGAAACAAGCAGCTCTTTTAACAATGCAAAACGAAGCTGGTGGAATTGTGCCAGTTCCCCCAGCACTGACAGACTGGCTTTGTGGACGGGACAAGATAAGGAAAAAGGATGGGAAAGTGCTATTTAAAACCCCACTTGGGAACTTAAACATTTACATTTGATAGAAGGGATTTAAACTGCATCACAAGACAAGATGCACAAAATAATCACTTTTTATTTCTACATTGATTCATTGCCTCTAACATCAGTTACCATACACCGCTCTCAAGAAAAAGGTAATGTCCGAGCAAGCTGTTTGCCAACTCACAGAAAATTAGCCAACAGAGAGTCAAAGTGATTTGAGGCTTATCCATGAGCGGATCGCAGGCTTTTTACCTGTTTTTCACATCTGAAATACTCCTTAACAAGCCAAATTGATGACATTATAGTTGAAAATATTCACAGCCACTTCACTTGCTGGGAAAATGTGAAGTGGCTGAGAATCCACACATTTACAGAGACCGCTGGGACATTCATTTAAGCAAGGCTAGAAACAGACATACTAATTTTAACTATTTGGAAAGAAATGCTTCTTTCACATTCCTGTGTCTGCTGAAGTACATTTTGGTGCAAATTCTTGCAAAAAAAAAAAAAATGGGGGGGGGGGAATTTACACAGTCCTATTGGATGAAACTTGAACATATTTACCCAGAGTTACTGTAACTTTTGGTACTGCTAATTTCAGGCTCATTTTTAATACAATGAGATTCCATAATAGTAACTGGAAAACATGAGGAAAATGAGGCCAGATATTTATCAATCATGCAACAAGAAGCAGCTTTATGCATTATTTCAATGTTTTCAATTTCAGCAACTTTAAGATCTGTGGAACCCCGCAATTCCCCAGCCAGCATGTTAAGACTGAGAAACACTGCATTATGCAGGAGAACATTGGGCTGTGCAGATCTTTGTGGAGGCAGTTCATTTCACTGAAGGAAGAACAAACCCTTCACTTGCTTCATTTGCCTGCACTAATGCTTATGATAGCTCGCAAAAGCTTTTAAGCATATGCCTCTTCCAGTTCTTGAAAGTGTCTCCAGGGGAGGTAATGATGAAACATGAACTGCATCAGCTCTTCACCTCAGTACGACAGAATGCGGTGCTTGTGCACTGCCGAGAACCTCAAAGAGGTGAACTCAAGCTGTTTCAGACAGATTTCATCCTGTTTAATCAGACTGCATTTTCTGTAATGTAATGAATCAAAATAGGGTGGGAGACTTGTTCCAGAAGGTTTAGGAGCACTTTGCTTTCACTTTTACCTTATCTTTACTATGCTGTGGAGAGTGCAAGCCTAAAAGCAGAGAGACTGCACTGACAGTATTCAAAACCACAAATAGAATAGAATAGAATAGAATAGAATAGAATAGAATAGAATAGAATAGAAGCTGGAAGGGACCTTGGAGATCTTCTAGTCCAGTCCCCTGCTCAAGCAGGAGGACCTCCTATACCATCTCAGACAAGTCACTGTCTAGCCCAGTGGTTCTCAACTTGTGGGTCGGGACCTCATTTGGGGTCGAACGACCATTTCACGGGGGTCGCCAAACAACGCAGTCCGCCATTTTTTTCTCCTTTTCCTTAGCTGTGCTACTCCGTTTTATTCTATTGGCTTTTGAAAGCCTATAGAATAGACTCTCTTGAATAGAGTCTAATTCTATTGGCTTTCAAAAGCCAATAGGAATTGTCCAGACTGTCCCTGCCCTGCTGAGCCCGCCAAAAGTCCCATTCTGCAAACGGTGCTGCACCAGTTGAGTAGTCCTCGACTTACGACCGGTTGGGGGTCGCGGCATTAAAAAGGTTGAGAACCACTGGTCTAGCCTCTTCTTAAAAATCTCCAGTGATGGAGCGCCCACAATTTCTGGAGACAAGCTGTTCCACTGGTTAATTGTCCTCACCGTCAGGAAGTTTCTCCTTAATTCCAGGTTGCTTCTTTCTTTGATCAGTTTCCAACCATTGTTTCTTGTCCTGCCCTCTGGTGCTTTGGTGAATAACGTGGCCCCCTCTTCCTGGTGGCAGCCCCTCAAATACTGGAATACTGCTATTATGTCTCTCCTATTTCTTCTTTTCTTTAGACTATCCAAACCCAAGTCCTGCAGCCGTTCTTCGTATGTTTTAGTCTCCAGGCCTTTAATCAAACCTTTACTTAGAAGCCACACAGAATCCCATTTTTTTTCTGAGTAAATGCCTATAATAATAGACAATAACTCTTCAACTGCTCTACCATGTCAGTGGAGTGGTGTTCTAGAAATCAAAACACTTTTACCTGGGGGCAAGCTTCTGAATATTTATTCAAATCGGGAACCAAATAGGAGAAAGCCCACCATTTCCCCTCCTTTACATAGAGATCTATGACTGTGTGCCAGCAACAGCCATTAAAAAACCCAGGATCTGTTTTTAATGTTACACTTAAGAGAAAACATTCTTCTTCACTATTTGGATGGTGAGCACACAGTGGGACTAAGATTACATTCCTCCACATCTGTTTGCTCTCCTACACTGAGAAAGTTCTGAGAGAAGAGTTCCCTGGTCTACAGGGAGGGGGGGAAACATGAAGTCTTAAGGAGATAAAAAGCAACCAGATTATTTTCAAACCTTTCGACATGAGAAGGTGGAGCAACCTAATAATCTAGCAGCTTTTTATCTCTTACTTATACTCATAAATCAGGTTTTGTTGTCTAAATGAATAACTGAAGAAGCTTCTTGGATGAGAAGAGAAATGCCTTCAAGGAAAAAGAAAGTCCAATTAGTTTTTGAAAAAACATCTTTGGGACAATCATGATCTAGATGACTGAGACTCTCCATAGACATTTTATTTCTAGTTACAGATGTCATAATGGAATATGGCAAAAGCACAATGCAGTATTTCTTCAGATCACAGAAAACAATCACTGATGATATTTTGTATTAACTGTATCCATTTTTCCTCTGGATTCATCCAAATAGATTTGTTTTCTCCTCGGTTCATCTAAATTTTCAATTAGTATTTAAACAGTCAATCTAAACAAGGTACAGATTTTTAAAGGACTCTTATAGCACATAACCTATTTGACTTCCATGGCAATGATTAAAACCTTTAACCATTAAAATCTTAAAACCCACCAACTGCTCTGGAAAAGAATATATAAATTGTTAGAGGCATTTAGCCATTAAACCTACAGTTTCTAGTAATTTTAAAGATGTAATATTCCAATAAAGTAACATTGCTGGGCTTGCATTTCTTTTTATATGTATACTGCTAGCTGAGAACTGCCTAGTTTCTTTGTATTACAAATACAGTTTAAAGGAAGACAGATGCTACAGAACATGGGGCCCTTCGGCATTTTTATAGAATGGATTGTTAGAAGGTTGTGTCATGCCAACCCAGCTGACATTTCACATCAAGATA